AAATATCTAGGTGTACACAAATGATGCATATATTCCCAACTGTTCCCGTATAAATGGTTCATCATTTATTAAACAGCATTTATATTTTTTATGCCATCGAGTTGTCTGAATCTGTTCTATTAATGATTTATTTCTTATTTCATCATTATTGATATCATCTATCCTGACAACAAATTTTCCAAAGAAGAAGGGAAATTGAAAATTAAACCGTACCCTATATAGGCTATGAAACTTTCTGTTCAGATATCAGTCAGACATGAGGAATTTGTGTAAAATGAATATCGTCAATATACCGCATATTTACTTACGTCATCATGATTTTACACCCTGTGTCATAGGTGACCATTATGTGTTCCAATTTTTGTAGTCAAGAGTTCATCCTCGATTTGTATTGGATTCGTCGCGGCGATATAGCTTTTTTTTCGTAAAGCAATCAATCAGCTATTAATCAATCATATTGTATTCGTGTTGCTCAACTTGCTTCTTTCTGTGTAGTGCTTGTATACTGTTGTATGTCTTTTTATTGCTTGTTTAGTAATGGTGTTGTCTGATTTTCTTTTTCTTGTGGTATTTTATTTCTTTGCTATTCTCCTTTTCTATATAGACGCTATTCCAAAGCAAATTGTGTTACTGGAGGTTAAGCAATAAAAAGATTTGGCATTTTTACATAATCTTGTTTTACCTCCCTAGGGCAAAGTTTTCCTGAAATCTTCCAAGGCCTCCTTTAGTTGTCCCAAATATTAAACTGAGTTTCCGTTATTTTGAACATATTATAGTGGTGTAAAATATACTCATCTTAGATACCAGGCTTAAAAAATTTGTACACCAAACGCGCGTTTCGTTTACTCAAGACTCATCAGTGACACTCGAATTAAAAAAGGCCAAATACAGTACGTTAAATTCACAACTATTTCTATAATTTTAATGAATAGTTAAGTGGAACTAAAAAAAAGAAGTGTACTTACTATCTCTTGTAATGTAAAATTTCCAACCAGCAGCAGATTTGTTTATGACTGTATATATGAAAGGATCGTGATGTAGAATGCAAGTTGAGGTCAACGTATTAAAGAAGAATGATACGCAACGTTTATTCAGAGAACAACTAATTGTACATTCGACAACTGAATTGACAGTTATTATTTCAATGCTATTTTTATCCTCATATTTATCATCAAACTGCGATTGGTGATGTGCTGAAATTTTAATTTTTGAAAAACAGAAAACCAAATTATTCAGAAAATACAAATATAAATAAAATATTTGAAACAGCATATTTCCTTTTTTTAACATGAAATCAAACTTTTCATTCAGCATGTTCAGTAAGCAAAAGTGATTAATCCAATTTAACTAATTGCTCAAGATTCTTAATAGCAATTCATATCAATGAATAATGAAACACGTGGATTACGTACTGCAGTCGGTGTAATTCATTTACTGCTATCATAGATGCCTTGGTTTTGCAAAGTAAAGATTGTTTTCAGATCTTTAAAAGAATTGAAGTATTGATAAAAAAGAAATAACAAGTTTTCTTTTCTTTTTTGTGAAAGAAAACAATTGGTTTCGATCATATTTTTTGTAAGTACCTCAAAAAGACGTCTATAATTACTGTTTTGATTCAGAATGTAGTATTCACATATAAATATTTAAATATTAACTAATAACGTATAATTATAAACAAACTCATGACATTTATTTTTATTTGTCAATAAGATCAATTGTGGTGTCCTATAAATGATGTATGATCCCCAACATGTCGATAAAAGTTAGGGAGCTACCATTTGATTTTTATGGGGGCTAGGATGAAAAATTGTGTCCTACATTTTTTTTAGTTGTAATCTCAGTCCTGCCTTTTTATTTTTCACGTTATTCGGTCCTGCCTTTTTATTTTTCACTTTATTCGGTCCTGCCTTTTTTTATTACTTAAAACTGACATAATTTGTCATCCTGCCTTTTTTTTTTGCCAAGTTGCTCATCCTGCCTTTTTTTTTTACTTAAAACTTCTGTCCTGCCTTTTTTCAAATTTCATCCAAAACAAACACAAAGGTTATAGTTTATAGCGCTTTCATCCTCGTTGTGTCTTATTGAGACGTTGTTAAATGTTTTCATGCCGTTACGTTACAATTTGTAACGACGAACTATAGACTGTCCCTGTCCTTTATCGGTTTGGCTCTGATACCCGTATGTTGCAAGGAAGAGAACCAGCCTAACAATATCTCATTCAGAAAAGCTACCCAATCAAAGTAATCGATGACGTAATTAAAAAGGCAAATGAATTAACAATAGTACACAGCTCCGCACAACAAGACAAAAAGAAAAGAATTAACAGAAGCAGTTATCCATTATTTTGTTAATATGTCAATATACTTACTCACTGTCATTGGTTATATAATGAGAGACAATCTAAATTATGTGCACTTATATCGGAACAGGCAGTAAATGATGTGCACTCATATCGGAACAGGCAGTAAATGATGTGCACTCATATCGGAACGGCAGTAAATGATGTGAACTCATATCGAAACAGGCAGTAATTGATGTGCACTCATATCAGAACAGTCAGTAAATGATGTGCACTCATATCCAAACAGGCAGTAAATGATGTGCACTCATAACGGGACAGGCAGTAATTGATGTGCAATCATATCGGAACAGGCAGTTAATGATTTGCACTCATGTAAGAACAGGCATTAAATAATGTATACTCATATCCGAACAGTCAGTAAATGATGTGCACTCATATCTGAACAGGCAGTAATTGATATGCTCTCTCATATCTAAACAGGCAGTAAATGATGTGTACTCATATCAGAACAGTCAGTAATTGATGTGCACTCATATCGGAACAGGCATATAAATGATGAGCAGTCATATCTGAACAGGTAGTAATAGATTTGCACTCATTTGCCGAACATGCAGTAAAAAATGTGCACTCATAAAAGGTAGTAAATGATGCATTTACTGCTATATGTCATAGATACATTGGTTTTGCAAAGTAAAGATTGTTTTCAGATCTTTAAAAGATTTGAAGTATTGATAAAAAAGAAATAACAAGTTTTCTTTTCTTTTTTGTGAAAGAAAAAATTGGTTTCGATTTTTTTTTTTTTTGTAAGTACCCCAACAAGACGGCCATAATTAGTCTTAGATCAAAATGTAATATTCATATATAAATATTTAAATATTAATTAATAACGTATAATTTAAAAAAACTCATTACATTTATATTTATTTGTCAATAAGATCAATTGTGGTGTCCTATAAATGATATGATCCCCAGCATGTCGATCAATGTTAGACTAGTATGTCTTATGGGAACAAGGAAAATTATCTATAATGTAGGATTTTAATACTACCCAAGGCTAAAAATGTCTTACATTCATATTGACATGTATATATGAAATAGAATAAATATCAAAACAAACACAAATGTTATAGTTTATAGCGCTTTCATCCTCGTTGTGTCTTATTGAGACGTTGTTAAATGTTTCCATGCCGTTACGACAATTTGTAACGACGAACTAGACTGTCGACGCCCCTGTCCTTTATCGGTTTGGCTCTGACACCCGTATGTTGCAAGGAAGAGAACCAATCTAACAATATCTCATTCAGAAAAGCTACCCAGTCAAAGTCATCGATGACGTAATTAAAAAAGCAAATGAATTAACAATAGCTCCGCAAAACAAGACAAAAAGAAAAGAATTAACAGAAGCAGTTATCCATTATTTTGTTAATATGTCAATATACTTACTCACTGTCATTGGTTATATACTGAGAGACAATCTAAATTATGTGCACTCATATCGGAACAGGCAGTAAATGATGTGCACTCATATCGGAACAGGCTGTAAATGATGTGCACTCATATCGGAACAGGCAGTAAATGATGTGCAATCATATCGGAACAAGCAGTAAATGATGTGTAATCATATCGGAACAGGCAGTAAATGATGTGCAATCATAACGGGGCAGGCAGTAAATGATGTGCACTCATATCTAAACAGGCGGTAAATGATGTGCACTCATATCGGAACAGGCAGTAAATGATGTGCAATCATAACGGGACAGGCAGTAATTGATGTGCACTCATATCGGAACAGGCAGTAAATGATGTGCACTCATGTAAGAACAGGCAGTAAATAATGTGCACTCATGTCGAAACAGGCAGTAAATGATGTGCACTCATATCCGAACAGGCTATAAATGATGTGCACTCATAACATGTAGTAAATGATGTACACTCATATCGGAACAGGCATTAAATGATGTGCATTCATAACAGGTAGTAAATGATGTGCACTCATATCTTAACAGGCAGTAATTGATATGCTCTCTTATATCGGAACAGGCAGTAAATGATGTGCACTCATATCAGAACAGTCAGTAATTGATGTGCACTCATATTGGAACAGGCAGTAAATGATGTGCACTCATATCGGAACAGGCATGTAAATGATGAGCACTCATATCGGAACAGGTAGTAATTGATATGCACTCATATGCCGAACAGGCAGTAAATGATGTGCACTCATAACAGGTAGTAAATGATGTACTCTCATATCTGAATAGGCATTAAATGTGCACTCATATCCGAACAGTCAGTACACGATGTGCTCTCATATCTGAACAGACATGTAAATGATGAGCACTCATATTTGAACAGGCAGTAAATGATGAGCACTCATATCTGAACAGGCAGTAAATGATGTGCACTCATATCGGAACAGGCAGTAAATGATGTGCACTCATATCCGAACAGGCAGTAATTGATGTGCACTCATATTGGAACAGGCAGTAAATAATGTGCACTCATGTAAGAACAGGCAGTAAATGGTGTGCACTCATATCTGAACAGGCAGTAAATGATACGCACTCACGTAAGAACAGGCAGTAAATGATGTGCACTCATAACAGGTAATAAATGATGTGCACTCATATGTGAATAGGCAGTATATGATGTGCACTCATCTCAGAACTGGCAGTAAATGAATTAAGAAACTGCATAGTAAAAGTAAAATAAAAACCTTTATTTATATGAAAATACACTTTGTTGTAAAAAAAAATTATATATAAATAACAAAAAATCAAAATACTGTAAATTCATAAATTATTGCGAGGTTTTTATTAATGTGAATAATGCAATTGGGTGAGTTTTGCAATAATTAGAACTAGCCTTCTGATATCGGATACATAAATCTGTATGAAGCTTTTCCTGAAATTGAAATAATTAATCTCACCTTTTATTTCTATATACAAAAAGTGCAATAATAAATGCCTGCAATAATTTCTGAATTTACAGTACACTAATATTCTATGAAAGATTTGTTACTAATGAAATAAATAATGCTGTTATTTTAATATGATTTAGAAAACTATATTAAGTGTTCAAAAATGCGAAAAGAAATTTAAGTTAAAACTCATTTATAAAAATCCTGGAACTAACTCAACCTAAAAACTTTAGCATTAAAAAAAATGTTTCTATGATTATTATATATAATTAAGAAGATGTGGTATGAGTGCCAATGAGACAACTCTCCATCCAAGTCACAATGTATAAAAAGTAAACAATCATATATGCATATGTTGATAAAATGACATGACAGAGAATATACTTTCCAAAACACAGTTGAATCATTAAAAATATATTATAATTAGACACTACAAAAACTAATTAAGCTTCTGAGACAAATTTTCATTCATAATCTATGACTTAAGAGTAATGGAAGATCTATTATTTGAACAAAACTGAAAATGAATTAAGACTACTTTTCTATTCAAGCAAATCTGTATTGAAAATACAATGGAATTATGAGGCAAGTTTTGAGCATTTTAATCAGGATGGCTAGAATAATTTAATGTGACTTCATCATAGATTGCCATTGATTTTTTTTTACAGTTGTCCTTTTTTTTTCATTTGATAATTGTTACTATGACAATTTCAGCCTGTTGGGTTAGCTTTTTTCCACAGTTTTTTACGTTCTATGATGGTGACTAGAATGTCTTGGAAAAGTCTATCAACACCATCCCCTGTGGCTGCTGATGTCTCAAAATATCTGAAATGGAAAATAAATTGGGTATAAAAACTCATGTGATAAGAAATATCAACAAAAAAGTTTCAGCAGTGCATCCATATGTATCTGAGTTTAGTGTGATATCCATTTTCACTGAACTAGTACACATTTCTGTTTAGGGGCCAGCTGAAGCCCGCCTCCTGGTGCAGGATTTTCATGCTGTGTTGAAGACCCATTAGTGGCCTTGCGCTGTTTTCTGCTCTTTGGTTGGGTTCTTGTCTCTTTGACAGACATTCCCCATTTCCAAATTCTCAATTCTATTGGTCATAGATATTATTCATTCTGATCATTGCAGGGTTATCTAAAACATTGTTAGAAGATAAAGTCAAAATTCTGAAAAATCATGTGTTAAACATATGAAAATAGTAAGAAAATCCTTTTTAATTTCTTACCATAAAGTCAAAATTCTGAAAAATCATGTGTTAAAAAATATGAAAATAGTCAGATTTAAATTCTTTTTAATTTCTATCATGAAGAGAAAATCATGCTTTTTCACTTATTATAACAGTAAATAAAACCTTTTTGTTTATATTTGAAAGAGCAAACAGTATGTAGTGGAGTTTTTACATTTTAATTCTTCTATTCAACATTATCTCTTCAATTTGATGGTTTTTTTTTTTATTTTAAAAAACAATCAAATGTTACAAAAAGGGAGATAATCCACTTTCTATACCAATCCTGTTTTGACTTGAGTGAGTGTTTTCTCTACTAATTTCATAAAGCATAATAAGGACTATTTTAAACATGTTTTAAAAATACCATCTTGTATCTACAAATTATAGCATCACATCAATAACACAATCTATAAGCAAATTATTTCAGATAGCATCATGCACATTCAAGCAATCTTAATTGTTTTGTAAAAGAGCTTACTTGATTCTGTTTTGATTGGCCCATTTCTTTGATTCATTTGTACTAATTACTCGTTTCTGTTTTAAATCAGTCTGTAAATTACAAAATTTTAATCAATACAAATATGTATTACCGGGTACATGTATATATTTTGCATTATTTACATAAAGGATCTTTTTATCCTCTAAATTTTGTTTACTGAGTCACAGTGTTTTAAGAATTTTGTTTATATGCAAACTACTTTATTACAGGATTGATAACTGATCCACAGGTAGGTTGGAAATTCGTGCATGAGGAAGTGATGTGGGATTTAGTAGTTAAGAAATTTCAAAATCATTATACTTGAAAATCATTGCAAAATATCTGCTTTTCATTTAATGTTTTACATTGAATCATGTCGATAGTCTTTCCTAAGAAGAAGGGTAACTCCTCGATCAAGACTCTTGTTATCTTCACATATATGTTTCTGTTGGAATTGCAAAAGTATACAGTATGGCAAGTTGTACTTTAACAAATTTAAAAAAAATTCCATAAAGTTAATCACAACTATAAAGTAAGCTAGAAAGGGCTAAATAAAAAAAAAACATTAAGATACTGTAAATTCAGAAATTAATGTGTTCATTTATCATGTTTATTGTTGCGATTTTTGAAGAATGGACAAAAATGTGAGATAATTTATTGTGATTTCAGGAAAATCTGCAAACGGATATATGCACCAGATATCAAAATGCTAGTTCTTTATCATTGCGATACTCAACCAGTCGCAATGTTCCCATTAATAAAAACCTCGCAATAATTTCTGTATTTACAGTAAGTTGGTTTACAGTTATTTACAAAACTTTACATAAATTTTTTTTATATCAGAACTCAATTACCCGTCTGACATGTCTTAACCAAATAATTTAAAGCCATGAAGTGTTATAATCATAAAGGAAAAGAGTGGTAGACATATACCTTAAACAGGCTGATTTTTTTCGTTCATTATTTTATACATAAATTCGGCTGTTAGTTTTCTCGTTTGAATTGTTTTACATTTGTCATTTCAGGGCCTTTTATAGCTGACTATGCGGTATGGGTTTTGCTCATTGTTAAAGGCTGTACGGTGACCTATAGTTGTTAATTTCTGTGTCATTTGGTCTCTTGTAAAGAGTTATCTCGTTGGCAATTATACCACATCTTGTTATTTTTATAAGAAATTTATTTCAAAGAAAAAACCCGAAAAACCCTATGATACATTTAATTCATACATTGGTACCCAGAGGATGCTCTTTGAAAATTGAATTACTATCAATAGAGGTAATCGGCAAATATCCCGTCCTGATCTCTACTTATATCCATAAATAAAAAATATTGGCTACGTTAACATGACATAAGTTGAGTTTTAGTTGTAACATACTGCTTGATTTCTTTAAACCATCAAAGGTGGTTTTAGTTTGTGTCATCAAATACTATAAAACTTTTGCTTTTGGAAATGACTTTGTTGCACAGTTGCAATAATATTGACAAGCATTTAAATGTATGGTTACAAACCTTATTAGCTACAACAATGAGATCAGGGGTTCCAGTTGTGTATCGCTGAATTTCCTTAAGCCATGAGTCAAGGGCATCAAATGTGGCTTGGTTTGTGACATCAAATGCCATAAAAATAGCATCTGCTTGGATGTAAAGTTCATTTCTTACATCAATGTATTCCGTACTGCCTGACAGATCCCAAAGATGGACTCTCACTAAAAATATTGAACAGTGTTAACTATTATTGAAGGATTAAAATATTAAATGATAAACTCATATGATACTGGTGTCTTATTTCCAGCAGTTAGAAAGTGTTTTTTTTTTTTAGATGGTTTGTGAAAAAAAATTAAAGGACAAGGTAGGATACTGGCTTTATCCCCCCCCCCCTCCCCCAAATAATAGTTGATGTAATTTTGCAATATTAAGATTAAAGAGACCCTTATATGAACAATAACAATACTCACATAATTAGTTATCTTTTCATTCTCTTTTTATTTAATTTTTTTCTCATTGAAAATCATCAATGATGAAAGTTTTTACCTATGAGGTAAAGGTTGTGGATTAAATTTCAGTCTTAATTTAGAGACAATATATTTTGTTTCTGAATCCGTTTATATATTACTGCAATATTTGTTTTGGTACATCTCGTTTTGAATATAAAAAAAATATGTTAAACCACTTTTCAGTCTTGCTAACAGTTTTCAGCTGAAAATTTAAATCTGTATCAAATATATGCATTAGAAAACAATACCGGTAATTGTCTTTTTTATAAAAAAAAACAAATTATTTTTTATGACTATTTTAATTAAATACATATGTATTAAATATGTAGGCCTATAGAAAATTGGAGGTAATTAACAAAAAATAAACCACTTACAATCTATGCCTTCACAATGCTGGATTTTAAAACCATAATCTACTCCAACTGTTGGTTGATAACCTGCACTAAACTGAAAAAGAAAGAAAATTTAGTAAGAAATGTTTTTAAATGTTCATTTTGTTTTCTATAACCAATTAATATATACAGATTAATTATTATTACTGTAACACTTAAAGATGGGAGTGGATTTGTCATTTTCAACTGGCCTCAGTCTTGCCCCACTCAGATTATGTGTGAGTCTTATGATGAAAGAAAACATAAGGCAGGTCTGGTCCATAAATTGGACATGGTTAATCATTTTGAATTTGCCCACTCAGACTCTGTGCCGGATTCCATTGTAAAAGGGTGGAAATGACCAAACTCACCTGAGGTGTAGTGTTTACACATTATTATATAGAAATAAGAAGATGTGACTCCATCCATTAGTCACAACGTGTAAAAAGTAAACAATTATAGGTCAAAGTACGGCCTTCAACACGGAGCCTTGTCTCACACCGAACAGCAAGCTATATATAAAGGTCCCCAAATTGACTAATGACTAAATCAATTCAAACAGGAAAACCAACTATCTAATCTATATAAAAAACAAGAATTGAGAAACACTAATATGAACCACAGCAACAACAGCAACAACCACTGAATAACAGGTTCCTTTAAATATATATTTAAATGTTTAAACTGTGAGTAGTTATAAACAAATATGTGCTAAAATCTCAACTGAAAGAAGAACTTAAAGATATATTTTTTTTACATCATATATTAATCAGAATATGTTATAATAATAAGATTAGAGATATAAATGACTAATAGATTTTGTTTGGAAAATTAAGGGCATATGATACAGTTTTGACCCCACAGTGATTTTTTTACAAAAGTTTGCATACAATCTTTTTTCACCTAGTCAATTCAAATATATGCAATAAAAAATATACCTTTGTGTGTTACTTTTAGAAATAAAAGACATTTACTGGAAATTTCTGTTTCTTTGACATTTCTATCCTTTGGAAAGAGATGTATACTTAACACTTTTGTTTCAAAGATAAACACGTTCGGATTTTTGTAAAATTTGAAATACCTTCTCTACATAAGTATGCTTTGAATCTATGTAGCAATTCTTTCATAATAATTCATTGTTATCACATTTTCATGATTTTAGTCAAAGAATAGCATTTTTTGCTGTATATTCATGATATTTATCTCAATTTAAAAAAAAATCATCGGTGATTTGTTCATAAAAATTGGCACAAATAATCTTGTGCAAAAAATGAAAAAAATGAAAACTAATTATTAAAAGGTACTTGATTACTTTTTTTTTTTTTTTCAAATAATTTATATAATTTTATATATTTTTCTCGTACATATCTACGGTCACTCCTTCATTGTACATATGTTATTGTAGTTTGTCTGTACTTTGTTGTCATAACCATTTATTGTTAATGTGTTAGTGCTAATAAAGTTAAGTTATCTTATATAATCAAGCCAAATGTCATTTTTAAAAAGAGGGGTCCATGAAATCGTTTTCAAGTTAAATCAGTCTGAATGATAAAAATCAGTTGAAAAATGCATCTTTTCAGGATATTTCAGAGTTTGACGTCGTGAAAAAATAACAATTTACGTTAGCAACGTCATTACCTCCCCTGTAACTCTATCGTATGCCCTTAAGTAATAATACCCATATTACTTAAAGTACATGTATTTTGTATCTGCCTAGTGCCTAGTATAAAAAAATGTAATATCAAGCACTCTTATGTATTATACTACTTATAAGTGACAGAAAAGAAGCAGATTCAGAAAGGGCTTAGAGGGTGTATGTCCCCATTTTTTGTCTTTTAAGTGCAAATCTGCCTAAGGCAGTGGTGAAAACATCAGACTAACAAAAACCCGCTCAACTTTACATTAATTTAAGTTTAGAATGTATAATGGTACATGAATATAACATTCGTTTCCTTTCCCTGTTCTAGTAATTCAATAAATAATTTGGTTGAAATGCACTAGAAATTAACAAGGGGAGAACAAACTTCATAATTTGCTATCATTCTAACCAAAATTTTTCTAGATATTTCTTGAATTACTAGACACACAGAAACAAAAGACCTACCATTTCTACTCAGGACGAGGGTACCTTCAAAATAGGGTGGTAAGGTCGGTGGGTTTTTTCTGCCATGTTTTGAAATTTTTCTAAATTGCCTGATTCTTACAAAAACGGGCACTTAAAAATATAATTTTTTGCTTAAAATCATCCATAAAACAACAGTACTTTGTTTGGAGTAACATATTGTTCTTTAATCACACAAAGCTAAATATATATCTAACTAATTTATGGGATCATAAAAATAATTTTAATGTGGATGGTGAGAACCTAACAAGTTAGGTGACATTAATTGCAACTGACAAGTATAAACAAACTCCAAAATCCCATTGTTCTAAAACCTTTTAAAAGGAGTTCATCAGGTAGCAAATGGTATTAAATGACACAAGGAAGTTAATGTCTGTTCATTTTTTTCTTTTCAACCTTGACTTTCCAAATAAAAATGAAAAGATGTTGGAGGATTAAAATTAAATATAACATACCTTACTTTCACAGAAATGCTTGACAAGACATGTTTTACCTACACAGGCACTTCCAACACCAACTACCTAAAATAAAGTAAAAATATGAGTACCATCATCAAACCAAGCATTCATAAAACCACATCATTTGGACTCTGTTGAATGATTATAAGTTGTCCAATAAACTTTTGTAAAACAATTACATAAAAGTACTGATTTCTTTTATTTCTTTGTTAAAATATATTGTGTAGATAGTTTGATCATATTAGATTCTTTTTTTCAATTAATTGCTATGTGTGCTCATCTTAGCTGAATCTTTGCTTATTTTGAACTTGTATATATATGTAAATTCAGTCTTCACGCTTAGCCACAAGCTCACCACCCCTGTCTTGTTTAATTTCAATCGGGTCAATAAGAATTTTTCTACAAGCCAATAGAATCTATACAAATTTTTCAAAAAAATGAGTGTCTGATGCATGTGGCTGCAAAAGTAAACCATGTGAATACGATCTATTATAGTTGGTTTTAATAGAGCTTTCTTTATAATGCTGAATGTTAATTGCCTACTGTACATATGACTGTGCAGTCTCTACACAAAACTTTGTTACTAAAATTAACTATCCTGTATATATACATTTGTTACTTTCAAGATTTTTTTGTAAAACATCACAAAGGTCCAGCCTACAATTGTCTTTAAATCTGGAACTGCGCGCGAATACACCAAAAAGAAGATTTTGATTTCAAGCTAAATTGTATATCTGATTGCTAAAAAGAATGATTGCAAGCTATATATTTATAAGACAATAAAAATGAAATTCTTCTAACTTCCTTACGGTAATAACTTCTGGTACTAATCAGATAGCACCTATCTCATATTATATATGTTCCTGAAGGGAGCATACATGCATGTATATGATAGAAGGATGGATTTGAGTCATACAACTCAACATACTGCAAAACCTTCAACAATTAACATGATGGTTGATAAAACCCTTTAAGGTTTTTCCTCCCTTTTCTGGATTTTTAGTAAAACTTTATAATTTAAAAGGAGATCAAGTTTTTCTGCCAATTTGTACTGAAGATAATTAATAAAACATAAATGTGCCAGGTAGCACAGAGCTGATATAATAAAGAAAACATGTTCATTGAAGATATCTATAATACCGGTACATCATTTCTTGACAATAATTAACTGACCAATCAGATGACCATAATAAACTAACCTCTGTTATCTGCATGTCAATGTGTTTTTTTTATAACAAACCCCTCTGGTTTTTACCCTGTGTTTATACAATGTTTATACCTATTTTGACAGAAAGTTTTTTTTTTCCCATTTGATATCATTTTTATTATATATATATATATATTTTTATTGATAAAATGAAGCTTGAGTTTCATTAAAATACATGTATCTCATAAGATTTTTTCTTGGAATATACATGTAGAAAATAAATTGTGTTGTGGCAAGGTAAAAAGACAATTCAGAAGTGTAATGCCAAGATGTTCGGAATATATGTATTACAGTTTTTAGGGGGTCTATGTACCTTGGCTTTCATGTGGATCTGACCCAAAGTCGATCCTGGCCAAGTCGTTCTGGCCCACACTTAAAGTCGATCCGGCCCGAATTAAAAAAATACTTACAAGAGATAAAAATTATATATATTTGACATGTAGTCCATAAATCAGGGATCGTTAAAATATCCTCTGCCATCGTCAAATGATCCCCACCATCGTTAAATTATCTTCCTCCATCTTCAAATGATCCTCGCGATATTGTAAAAAAAAATTTTCGTTTTGCTAGCGGCTGCAATTTTTGTTAGCAATTATAATCAATTGCATGTAATTGCATAACCCGTAGGCTAATTGTATTATAGTTCAAACGGTCCTCCTGATTACAGTTTTAAAGTCCTGAAGGATATCCAGCTAAAGATAGCTAAAATTCATTAATATTCATGATAAATATTAATGAATCTTATGAACAATAGCGCTAGCAAAGGTGCACGATCAAAAATTGTGTTTTTGACCCATAATCAAATGTATACTTTTCATTTGAGGAGACATTTATTCGAATATTGTTTTTAATATTCTAAATACTGTAAATTCAGAAAATCTTTAAATCAAAATCATTTTATAAACCTTTTAGTAATGTTTATAATAATGAGTAAGGACGATTATTAAGGAAACAGCATTTAAGCATATATACGATTTTATTAAAGTTATGTCAAAGAATTACTAAATTTCACCCAGCTGAAATTGTAATACATTCCCAACATCCTGATGAATATCGACATGAAAGCCAAGGTGCATAGACCCCTACAAAATTGTAATATATTCCGAACATCCTGTCATATAAAAAATTGATATGGGGACGAAGTCCCTAATTACAGTAGAAATCAATAAAACAAATTTAGATAATCAAAATATACTATTGAACTAAAAATCGTTAACTTTATTTTTCTATTTTTTTTTTCTTCCGCATTTGCGCAGAAATCTTTTTCTTTCTTCCAGTCTAGTTTGTAATGGGACTTTGAGTAAAATATAGGAAGGAGCATCATATTGTTTCCCGCAAATTTGTTGTTTTTGATTACCAAAAGAATACTGCCAGTTATATATAAACAATAAAAATAAATTCCTTACATTTTAAAAGGAGTCTGAAGCTCATTCAACATACAATTTTATACCAAACAAAATGAGTTCTTGTGAAACTCACCTTATCAATCAGTCAGATTTCAATTATCTGATAAAAATTGAAAAGCCGACTTGCACAGGTATCATCGTCTTTTAAAGATATAAATTATAACAATTTTATTTTAACATTTCTTTGATATGAAAAAAACGTTACCTGATGATAGCGTTTCTTTGTTTACATTGAAAATGACGTCACAACTAAAATCCCTTACAACAGGACCAACATCGGAAACATTTCCATATTTCGGTTTCCTTTTCAACAGATTCTAAAGTTAAAATATGCTTGAATTCAAAATATAATTTGTACGGACTTCGTCCCCTTTCACAGGTAACACCTGCCTCATATTAGTTCAGTGATCTGGAAAGATTTTTTCTCTATGAGCTCAGGGCCCCCATAAAAATAAAATCAATGGGCCATTTTTAGAATTAATGGGCCATGTTGTCAAATGAGTGGGCCATTTAATTTATACATGTTATAACAAAAAATGAAAAAGTGTATGTTTCAGCAAAGAGGTAATAACCTGTATGATTTTAATTAATATCATGAATATTGTTCCTGTGCTTTTGTAGATTCAGTGAATAAAAGTTAATTTTGTTCATGATGATTTATGTTACCAAAGACATACAAAAGAATATACGTCTCTGATGTGACTAAGAATGACATCGAGTGTCTAGAATATCTAGATCAGGGCGGTTTCGAGAACTGGCAAGCCCTGAAACCTGATCCTGCGCCTAAACAAATACTCTAAGTACCGTGAGAAATTACAATGAGAAATGGTGTACCATAAGAGGAAATGATTAGTACAGAGAGACAAGTTGTGTCAATTTTGACCTTAGGATCAGGATCAGTTCATGAAATGTAACATCACTCAGAAATTAAACTTTTTATGACTTATAAAAAAAAATTATTAAACTAAGTAACTAGAACTATGTCAATGGCAGACTAAAAGAAGCTGATCTACCTTTTGTGGCACAAAACTGAAAAAAGAAGAAATGAATCTTGATAAGAAAACTAGAAAAATTAAATTCCAAGTTAGTTGAAATGATTTTTGGCAAGATTTGCTGTACATTTTGCTTCCATCACACCACACAGAAACCAGGACCATAACTTCTCCCAAACCGGGCTATAGTTAAGAGAACCTTTATTTACAATGTTAATACTGGTACCACCGACTTGTTCATGTTCATGTTCCTTTGACATTAAATTTGGGTCTTCGTCGATTGCCATACTTTATTCCCGACGTTCCGTATTAGAGGACGTTTCAGACATTTCCCATGCATTTCTTGATCATTATTATTTTATCAAGACTAACAAAAAAGAGTAACGTTTTTTGTTGTTGATAAAACACAACAACAATTCGCTGAAGGCATTTTATAAAATTTACAAACGAACCAAAGACCAAAAAATTGACAAGGACAGTTAAGCGCCTTTCATATTAAAAAAGGCCTTTGAGTTTTTCAATCAACTTTATTGCAATAGATATAGGAAGATGTGGTATGAGTGCCCATGATACAACTCTCCATCCAAGTCACAATTATAAAAGTAAACCATTATAGGTCAAGGTACGGTCGTCAACACGGAGCCTTGGCTTACACCGTACAGCAAGCTATAAAGGGCCCCCAAAAAATACTAGTGTACTGTAAAACCATTCAAACAGGAAAACCAACGGTATAATCTATATAAAAAACGAGAAACGAGAAACACTTATGAACCACATACATTTTGTAAACGAACGACAACTAACTGAACATCAGATTCCTGACTTTAAAGATTATAACTTTTAAAAAAATCTCGTCTGTTCTAGCCAACTTTCACAAAATTTAAGTTGTTTACTTTGAAAATTTAGATCATGGATGATGGTAAATTGCGTTACCGCACGTTGCTATCCTTAACATGAAGGAAAACACCTGAGACGGCCCAAAAATATATAGGTGGTGCTCCTGTCATTGGAGGGAACACAACACAGTTTGTACACAAATATGGCGACACGAAACACGATCGGAAATTCATTTTACTAGATCTAAACGTTTAGATACAAACCGGAAAATATAGTGCGCCACACTGGCGCTGACATTTGCCACTCTATGCGCCATTTCTGGTCAAAATGCGCAATTTGTGCATGGCGCACGGCCTTCCCAATCACTGTTAGTTACTGATTTATTTCATTTTTGGTTTATCTTGTCACAAACCTATGCCTTACTGACTTAGTTTACTCCATTTTTTCTTTGTTTTGTTTTATTCTATTTTATTTTTATTTTTTAATTTTCATTTTTTACTAATTGTTACTTTTAAACATATGGTTTAAAACCTCCCTTTGTCTCATAGAAAATACCTACTTTTACCCAATTCAGTGCATTAACTGCATCTTGTGGATTTTTCGTCAAATGTCCTGGTTTTCTATCCATTTTTGTAACGCTCTCAACGATTCATTCTCCTTCGCAACATATAAACAATCGCCTCAATTTCGACCTTGGGTTTTCCCCTTTTGAATAAAGCGAGCATAGTTATTTTCGCAAAAGACACATTCTAAAATTTGTTTGACCTATAATGTAAATCCAAATAATTTAATTTATAGATTACTTTTTAGTCAGCCTCAGGTTATTTTAAAGTCAAAAACATACCAAGTTAATTTTGACACGTATGCTAAAATATCATTGCTGACTAATTCTGTAGATTTTTTGAGTACCTAAAATAAGTCTTAGATTTATTTGTTTTTATAAAATAATTTGCTGTATAATAACACGTCAAAACCCTTGTAAAAACTTTTTTTTATATATAATTATAAATAACTTAAAAAAATTAAACATATCGACAGACAGAATGTTTCATTTATAAAGGTATTCACCTCAAGGGCTTTGAAAGGTTAGGCTCGGAAATCACATTTATTGTTCTAGGTGTATCTTCATAAAGCTTACTACAACCAACTACCAAAGTGAAAGTTAAACAAAGTTTGGAACTGTTCATTTTAACATGGCAAATTTATTCGTCGCATATGTTTTATGGTTCTTTGGTGGAGCTTGGGGATTACACCACTTTTATCTTGGACGAGATAGACATGCCTTTATCTGGTGGTCGACTTGGGCTGGATGTTTCGGACTTGGTTGGGTTCGTGATCTCTGGCGGTTACCAGAGTATGTTTATGCCGCAAACAAAGATCCTGCTGTTTCCTTGCAAGCTTTGGACGAAAAAGCAAAGCGATATCCAACACCTCCATTTAATGTTGTAAGATTCGCAGGAGAAGTGACAGTTGGTTTCTTATTTGGCATACTGATTCGAATTTGTATTCCAGATGACTTTGTTGAATTGGTCATTGGCCGTATTTTGTCAATAATTGTGCCTCCATTAGCAGTAACAATAGGTGAGAAACTATATAAAATGAGGCAGGTACTACCTGTTCTGTACAGGTATTATCCTACCTGATACACCTAATCGCTACTTGTCTGCCATTACTGGACATCACAGGGGGTCTCCTTGGGGGTCTGATCCGGATCCCGCTTATTGTTTTGTCAGAATCCTGTATCCTGCTTATCATTGTAATAATAGCGCTTGTAATTTCACGTGTCCTGCCTGACCGTTTCCTGTTTTCAATCAAAATATTTTAACATTCAAGTGTCACGCTTACAAAAAATCCCCCCAATCCAGCATCACGCTTAGACCCCAATGAGACCCACATCACAAAGGTTCCTGTAAAATTTTGACGTCACAATAGAATATGTCCGGCTCATCAAAGGAAAAGGGACTGTTGTATGATGTCAATAGTTCAGGTGTTGCAGATTCTCCGGTCAAGTGTTGCAGATTCCCAAATAGCGATAAGGTCTATAAGCTCATGTTGCATGAGGTTTTATTTAACACTCTACTTTTTGGTAATCAGATATATACAAATTTGTGGGGTCTCACTGATTAAAAACAAGAAGCGTCAAGAATTGACAAGAAGAATAATTTAGCGACAAGAAGGTTAATTAAAGTGACAAGAAATCTTGATATTAACTATTTCAAATAAAAAAAATATAGAACATTGTAGAAACATGCATTAAAGTGTGTTTTTTATACATATGTACTTTTATCTTATTACATGTATACTGACAAAAAATGATTGATAGAAGAAAATGAAGATATGATTTGTTCAAGAAAAGAGTTTATTTTTATTATCAAGGATATGTTTAAGATAATATTCTGGGATTTTTACAAAATGTTCGTATTCATAAATACTTTAAAATGATTTTTTTATTACTAAAAATTCATTACAAAATGGCATCAATACTAATGCAACAAAATCTGAAAGTTTATATAACAATTATAATAAACTGTAATTGATTGACTTTTTTTTATAAAGTTATTGGTTTGATAGCATATTGATATAAACTCTTGTCGCTAATTTTTTCTCCTTGTAGCTAAATTTTTTCTTCATGTCGCTTTTAGCATACAAGTCTAGTTGCTTCTTGTTGCTAATTAGTAAGACCAAATTTTGTTTGAAATCCTAGGGTGACAGTAAAGTGTGAAATGTTATAAAAACGAACAGAACAAAACGAAACGAAACTAAGCAACACATAACATGCATAACAAACATGACAAATTGAACAACAATTAAAGATAATGTAAAAATTAAAACAAGAGGCAGACGAATCTAAGGGGAGAATGACAATGAAAATTATGTATTATTTATATTTCTCAAAAGCAGAGAATTAAATAATGACAACATAAATGAGAAACACTTTGATTATTTAAATGCACAAGAGAGTTACCAAGATACAGCTTTTCACATGTATATCACAGTAACTCCAGTATACCTGGATTGATTTCCTCAAAACTTTATACTATTGGTGGGATGGATAAAACGAAGCTCATTTTGGACTTCTTTTTTTTTCTTGTTTGTATTTCCAGAGTCTGAGATACAGGACTTTTTAATTGACTCAGGTTAGAATATCTGACAAGAAATCCATCCTTATAATCTCTAAAACTATACCTCAATTTCAGATAAAAATAAATTTAAAAAAACTGTTATAGATCACTGTTTGCGTTTAATTGGAAATATCAGGAAAAAATTTTTCATCATGTTGTTGGGAGTAAATGTGACAGAAAACTTTTGCTTACATGTAAACGATTTACATGACAATTGTGACAAGACATGAAAGTGCGACTTTAAAAATGTTTTTCTCTATTTGAATTTTGTTAACACCTTATCTTCTGTAATCAGTGATACTAAATACTAATTTAGTGTGTTGGAAGAAAGGCTTATTTTACCTTTGAAAAAAATAATTAAATAATGACTCTTTAGATAAAAGTTTAAACATTACCAACCCAGGGGTTTCATTACATGTACCTTTCATGTTTTACTGGTACATTTCCAATTTGTAGGTGGTACTTTTCAATATAGCCCATGAGTACCTTATATTGAAATTCCTAAATTCAGGTGGTATTTATCATATGCTTATACATGTTATATATGCCCTCAATTTTAGAATTCATTCAAACATTTTTGTATTATTCAAAATTACCAGTCAATTATGTGTTCTACAAGGATCATCAGTCCTTCACCTTTCTTCTTATACCTTAATTACTAAAATATATGCTACATAGTTTTAGATTTACACCTAATTGTGTAGGAACTATTTTATTTTAAAAATATGTACTACTTTCCAGCATGTCCAGTATGTTCTTTTTTGACCGATTAGGTCGTGTTACATTTTACAAAGTCTATCCAAATTTATTTTTGAAAAGAATTCCACTTTTGTGTGTTTTTTTGCTGTGCATGTACTGATTTTGTGTCATGGATGGATACCCCATATCCTTTCTTTTTCTATTATAATAAGTACCTCCAATTTCGGATAAGTACCACCTGAATTGAGGAATTTCGATTTAAGAAATTCATGGAATACTTGTTGAATGTAAAAGTTCTGGTTACCACCTCCTAATGAATTGCCTGGTAACCATGTTTTCTGTTGTTAATGACTAATTTTATTCGCATAGGTACCAGTGACAACTGATTACATCAGTGATATCAGCATTATGAACTTATTTGCCAAACTACAGTCTAGTATATATTAGTATTAAGGGGCCAGATGAATGCTGTCTCCGGCTGTGGGATTTTCTCGCTGCTTTGGTAACCCGTTGGTGGCCTTGGACTATTTTCTGCTCCTTAATTGTCGGGCTGTTGTCTCTTTGACACATTCCCTGTTTCCATTATATAACACATATTTACTTTTTATTATCTGCTTTCAGGAGTTCATTTAGTTGGAAATGTAAGTCCAGAAAAAGTTTCTTTCAAATGGGCATTATATGGAGCATACACTTCAGTACCTTTGTTGTTATTCGATTCAGGAAATAACTTGGTATATTCTTCAATACTTTCTGCAATTGCAGTAAACTGGAAGGGAAAAAACTGGAACAGAGACTATTTAGAAAAGCGTGGACTTTGCAAACGAATATTTGTGTTAACTTTCTGTGGATTGATATATTTATCACTTTGGTCAAGTGCAATATATTTTAATGCAACAATTACAACAAAAGAAGGAGACGAAGTTCCACTACGAGAGGCTATAAATAACTTTTTTACCTCCCCTGCATGGGCAGATACTAAAGAATCATTTAGAAATTTATATAAATATTACCAAGAACATGGCTGGGAAAATTTATATAACAAGATAGTAGATTCTTTAGATCCATTAGGAGAAACTAAAGCATATAAGGTAAGTTTATTAATAGAATTTGTATCATGCAGTTGTTACCTTTTAAAATTTAACAATATTTGAATTAAGAAAAACAGTCTTAGTACATGTAGTAAATCAAGATTTTTCTAAACATATATGTTTTAAAATAACACTCAAATGTTTCCATATTTCATGTATTTTTTTGCATTTAAGTTCTGTACAAGTGTACACTATAATGTTTTCTTCTGTATGAAATGTCATGAATGTACTCCTTTGTGCAGCTGCTAATATTACAGTGTATTATTAACAGAAATGATACCCATTTTACTGCACCAGATGTGCTTTGAGACAAAAGACAAAAAAAAAATTGATAGATGTCTCTTCAGTGATGCTCATGTGATATGGAAAAATATATTAAATCCCAAACTTATTCAATAGATGAAGAGCTTATAAACCTAAAAAAAAAAAATGGTATAGCCAAAGTTGGACAAATGTTCTTTGCGCTTGCTTCCAGCAGCTATGAGCATTCTTGGTAAAGAAATTTCATATAAACTTCTGCATGTTCTGAATCAACTATATACATGTACATGCATATGATATAAATAAAAGAAAAAATAAAGAGGTATATATATATATATATATTGATGGAAACTTCATTGACACACAAAAAGACATTAAATGACAACACACCAGTATCAATGAGTATAGAAATAAGGAGATGTGGTAATTATGATTGCCAATGATACAACTATACACAAGGGTACAAATTATGATAAAAATAAGGAGAGGTGGTAATTATGATTGCCAATGATATAACTATACATGTACACATGAT